CTTTTGAGGTTTTTTCAAAATTTTTGTGAGTTTCCAAAAGGGTTTGGAACTCGGGTCTAATTTAGAAACATTATTTTCAAAAGTTTTGTTCCTCAAGGCAGAGAATCGCTTTTTAATTTGTTTCTGCAAATCCCGCCAGATAACTTTCATGGCAGGATCGCGTGTTCTTTGATATTGTCTCCTACGGACATTTTTAAGAATTGAATCGAATTTAACCTCGTATTTTGGTACTGAGGCAGCTCTTGCTGCAACTATAGAAGTAGTCAGAGATTCAAGAGCATAATTAATTTCATCTTTGGTTTGCAAAGGAATGTTTGGATCGAATTATTATTATTTAGCTTTATTTAGGAGGCTTTCAGCCTTAGGCTGGTTCGCCTCCAAAGCTGTTTGGATCGAAGTTATATTCCATAAATGTTCGATATTGCTCCCAATCAGCTCTATGGTAATTGAAAGTAGAGCTGTTGGGATTACAAATTATTTCTTGGGATATTTCAAAAGTTACTGGAAGGTGATCAGAACCGAAGTCAGCATGGGTAACCAATTGGCTACAAAGTTGACATGAATCAGTTGAGACCAAATCAATAGTGGAGGGATTTCTTGCAGAAGAAAAGCATGTTGGGCTGTTTGGATATTGAATAGTGTAATAACCTGCAGAACAATCATCAAACAGAATATTACCATTGGAATTGCTTTGAGCATTATTCCATGAGCGGTGTTTTGCATTAAAATCACCAATAATGAAAAATTTAGACCTATGACGGGTAAGTTTCTGGAGGTCACCCTTGTGAAAATTCTTTTGCTGGCCTACGCATTGGAATGGCAAATAGGCAGCTATAAACCTAAGTTGTCCAAATTTTGTTTCAACAGAAACTCCCAAAGTTTCAAAAACTTTGGTTTCAAATGAAGAAAGAAACTTTATGTTTGATTCATCTATGAACAATGATGGCAACACCACCACAGGGTCCATCAAGACGATCATTTCTATAAACCAAATAATTTGCGTCCTTCTTAACCTTATGGTCAGGTTTAAGGAACGTTTCAGTTATAACGGCAATATGCACGTTATGAACTCTCAAAAAGTTAAATAGCTCGTCTTCATTATCTTTAAGAGATCGAGCATTCCAATTTAAAATATTTAATGCTTTAAAATCCATTACTGAATTTTAAAGTCATGACAATATTATTTGCAAATTTTACCCCAGTTTGAATAGCACCAAACATGGAGTTAGATTTAAGCATATCAGAAATCATGTCAATTAATGATTTCTGTAAAAATTCCATTTTAAGGGCAGTAATACCAACAATCAATACGAAACTAACGATTTTAAATTGGCTCACCACTTTAGTAGCCTATTGGTCCCAAGCAAACGATTAACGTACCCTATTCTAGTTGAACTCTGCAACAGTCAGACTGACAGTCCCAAGCTATTTCACTCACCCCTGCATGTTCTGCATGAATCCGCACACCCCTGATGTTATCTGTCAAACTTTCATAGCGAATCAAAACAAACATAGTGTAGTAATAGAATTTCAACTAGAATAGGGTACGTCAAGGGCGTAGCCAGGTTTCGAGCTAGGGAGGGGCGAAAAAAAAATTACCATGGAAAATTTGGCCGAATGCCATTTCACCGAACGCCATTTCCTCGAAAGCCTTTGTGTTGCCGAGTTTAGGGGGGGCAGTCGCCCCCCCCGGCCCCTATCTGGCTACGCCTATGGGGTACGTTAATCGTTTGCTTGGGACCAATAGGCTACTAAAGTGGTGAGCCAATTTAAAATCGTTAGTTTCGTATTGATTGTTGGTAATGCTTCCTAAGTCAAAATTGTCGAAATTTCCGTTAGTATTACGTTGGTTAGTATTTTGATTTATCCCCGCTGCAATAGCAGCATACCCTTAAGTATATTTTACCCGAAAATATGTTTTTTTTTGTTTTTTTTTCTTTATTAAAGAGACTTTCAGCCTTGGGCTGGTTCGTCTCTCTCGAAAATATGTTTAATTCACGTAAATTTGAGAATATGCAATTTACTCAAAAGTAACTTATTGGGCTGAACTATATCGTTGGGTCGAATCTCTCGTTCCTTTTTTGACAACAATAAAGAGTGCAAGTGAGAGGCTGAACTCAATATTAAGTAAAAAGAACTCAAATTTTGGGTAGTATTTTTTCTCCGTGCATGTAAAGGCCGACTTCGAACAGCCCTAAAAAAGGAGCACCATACATGAACGATACCACAAATCGTGCCACCGAACCGTATATTGTTGGGATAATAACCCGAATAAGTTGTTACGCACTCCTTATTGTTATCGTTTATGCGGGAGCTTATAGGACCAAGATTTTGTAAGGAAAAGGCTCGAGAAGGTGTCCCTTGCACATTCAAATTTGTTTTTGCGGATAAATTCACACGCAAATATGTATACATGATCTGGCAGGGAATTTGCAGCAGCGGCCAGAAGACAAAGGTTTTCGACTGAGACTGAGAAAATGATCAACTCGGAGGCTTACAAAACCGAATTCTGTCCTTCATCAAGTCACATCCAGGTCCGCTGACATTTTGACCGAATCATGCGAGTTGTCACTACAGTCAGGAAGCACAATAATGGTACAATGACAGCGGATTTCAGTTTGTTCCGAAAACCCTCAATCCGCATAATTGTCACCAGTTCAGGCCCATTGAAAACTACTTGGCAATTAACCACTTCATTCGAGCAGATAAAATGACGTTTACTACCACTCGAACTTTGAAATGAAACATTATTTTGAGATTTTTTCTTCTAGAACCTCGAGAAAAATAGCCAACATTTGTGCGTTTCATAAAAAAATAGAAATTAGTTGATCCAGTTTTGTGAAATCGCTGGTAGAAAGTCACGCCAAAACTGCTTGACAAAGTGGTCAATTATGAAGAGGTAACTGAAGGTAAAAGGTACAGTCATCAAAACGGCAGCTCAGATGAAAAATTGGTGGGATAAACTGGTAAAAACAGCAGACGAGACCGTTTTGCGCCGCTTGATGAGTCGTATAAAGGGAAAAATTCGATAATTTCTTCAAAACCGCGACGAATAATTAGCTACATTTTTTTTTTTTTTTTTTTTGAATTATAAGCAATAGTATTCACTTGAGTGAAACCCGTTTTCAAATCCGTTATGCCGCGGATACACTTGGATGACAAACTATGAACATGCGCATTATTTGTATTATAAATTATGAGCACATCCCTGGACGCACTTGTATCATAGAGGTAACTCTAAGACCACTGGGTCCCGAAGAAAATCATTATTATTTTTGGCTCATTCAGTACCAGAACAACGGTCCCAAGCAGTCCCAAGCTATTTCACTCACCCCTGCATGTTCTGCATGAATCCACACACCTCTGATGTTATCTGTCAAACTTTCATAGCGAATCAAAACAAACATAGTGTAGTAATAGAATTTCAACTAGAATAGGGTACGTTAATCGTTTGCTTGGGACCAATAGGCTACTAAGGCTCTGAACCATTTGGCGAATTTTTTTAACTTTTGGTTAAAATTTGACAGATGGAAAGTTATTGATTAACCCTGCTATCCGAGCATGGTTATTTCTGACAGACAAGAAGTTAAACTTTGACAACCGTGGCTCGAAAACCGGTCGATCGACAGCACGGGGATTTTCGAACATAGAAAATAACTTTCGAAATGTCACTTTTAACCACGAGTTAAATTTAACTCGGCAAATGGTTCACAGCCTAAAGTGGTGAGCCAATTTAAAATCGTTAGTTTCGTATTGATTGTTGCTTGTATAGTTTTTGTATAGCTGTTGTACACGCTAACTTGAAAGTACCCATTAATGGTTGAAAAAGACCCATTTTGAAGAAAAGTGGCTTAACTCATTAAATGAGTAAATTTTTTACCCATTAATGAGTATCTGTTACCCATTAATGAGTAATTGTTAATCATTAATGGGTAACAGATACTCATTAATGGGTAAAATTGTTTAATCATTAATGAGTTAAGCCACTTTTCTTCAAAGTGGGTCTTTTTTTACTCATTAAGGAGTACTTTCAAGTTAGCGTGTATAGTGCTCATAAAAATTACACAAATAATGCTCAGTTTGTCATCCAAGTGTATCCGCAGCATTAATTCAAAACCGAAATAGACCCAAATGATGCTGTTCCATTACTAAGTGGGCCATGCTTTATAAGAATTCAATTCCTTTGTCTTTTGTCTCTATTACTTTTTGTTTATTTTGTACCCCCGTCTCGATGAGTCTTATCATCACCCACTGGTCACCATAGCCGTTCGTACTGGCGACAACGCTCTGATGAGACAACAAAACCCCACCCCCAAGCTCCTCCCTTGATCCTATTCTTCGACAATCTATCGAAAAGTGAATCTTGTTAAAACCAAAGAAAATTGAATTAGCGGCTCCGTAAAACTAACGCGATTGAGCCTTCCAAATAAACGAACTAGATAAAAAAAACATTTCATGATTGTCTGCGATCTGCATCTGATGATCAAACAGAAGTGTTTGTCCGGGAAGGGGGACATTATTAGGTTCGACACTCCCACCAGTACCCTTGTAAGGGATTTGAAAGCGATGTCCCGTTGGTCGTTGGGAATCAGAACTTTGAGGCGCACAAGCCGATTTTGATGGCGCGAAGTCTGGTGGTTACGAATATGTTCAATATCTGTGAAATCGAGTGGAGATTGAGGACATCGAAGCCGAGGTGGTTACGGAGGTGTTTGCTTCGATTTGTGTATACAGATCAGGTGTTTGACCTGTGAAAGCCTGCCAAGGGATTGCTGATGGCGGCCGAGAAGTCTAAACTGGGCCGATATAAGGCGATGTGCGAACAGGAGCTGTTTAAGAAACTTTCGGTGGAAACGGCGGCCGAGCCTTAGACTTAGGCGGTACTAAGCCGATGTTATAGTGTATTCAAATAAAAAACGGTCTACACAAGTTTCTTAACAACATTATTAACAGAAGACACTTTTGAACTTAAAGTAAAACAAATTTCATCGATACAACTTTCACAATCCCATTCGCGCAAACTCCTCCCGGAATTGCTGCGCTTCGGCTAGCATTTCCTGGGGGGATCGGCGCGGCCGTTCCTCTTCCTTGTCGTGCTTGTTGAGCTCGCAGTAGATTTGGTCGTTCTCCGGAAAATCACCCACGTGCCGCGGCATCACGTGACAGTGCACGTGAAAGACGGTCTGGCCCGCTTCCGGGCCGTCCTGGACGGTGACTGTTGAGGACGAACCTTCATAGAGCCGTTCGGCCACCTTCTGCACCTTGCAGGCCGTCTGGAACATGTCGTTGATTTCCGCCGGAGTCAGATCCGGCATCCGGGCCGCCCAACGCTTGGTCGAGACGAGAACGTCTGTCGAGTTTGAGAAAAAATGTTATTGGTTAAGGAAATTTCCGATTCCGAATGTTTCTGATTCAAGCTGTTATCGTTTTGAAGAAAAAGGATACGTCCCGGAACGACACAACGAATATTGACAAATGCGAAGCAAAGCTCCGATGAGTAGAAAACCGTTTCCCTTGGGATGTCGAACCCTCCAAAGTTGTACTTTTTATCAAAGCTGTCCAATCTGGCCGTTCCCTTCCGGTAGGACAGATTGTAGATATCGTCCCGTCGGTGTTCGAAGCACGGCATATTCTGACGCACGTTCGCCAGTTTGTCAAAATCTAGTTCAACAACCACGACGTCCAAATCCTGCTGACTGGCTTTACCCAGGATGACACCCCACGGATTAACAACCATGGCATGACCGTAGCTCTCGCGTTTCTTATTGTGGAAGCCGATCTGAGCCGCAGCTACCACGAAGCATTGATTCTCGATGGCTCGTGCTCGAAGCAAAACCTCCCAGTGGGCCCGGCCTGTCGATACGGCAAACGCCGAGGGATAGGTCAGAATTTCGGCTCCCTGCTTGCGCAGCAGGGTACTCGCCTCCGGGAACCGGACATCGTAACACTGGGAAAATCTTGATTGAAATAAAACCTCTCAAAACTAATCCATCGTAGCATTAATCTTACAATCTGCAATCCCAGCTTGCCGATTGGACTATCAATCGGTGGCACCAGCTCGCCCCCCGAGCGAACCGTCTCCGATTCGCGAAACTTGAATTCCGGCGTAACGACGTTGAACATGTGTAACTTCCTATACCTGGACACCAACTCGCCCCGGTTATCGATAACGATGTGCGTATTGTAGATGTTTTTGATCGACCCATCAGCCGACGAGTCATCCACGATCGATTCGTGAACTCCTCCCATCGACAACCACAGGCCACTGTCCTTGGCCAGCTGCTTGTACTCGGCCACCGTACGACCGGACAACGGTTCCGACAGCTTCAAAGTCTCATCGCGATTGCTTCCAACGTAGTCGCAGCACTCCGGGAAGAAGACAAACTGCAATCAGGATGAACAATTTAGTCAGGGTTTCTGTACAAACCGGTTCCCCATTCTCCCCCAAATCAAAATTCGAACTGCTATTGGCAGATGATGATGCTATACTCACGCAAGCTTGTTGATCCTTGGCCTTTTGGACGATCGTCTTCACCTGGCTCAGGTTGTGCTCCTTATCGTTGGTGGATCGCATCTGGGCGATGGCAATCCTCGGGTTGGTACTGGTCCTCAAAGCGGACATGGTTCTTCCAGATAATCGCTGAATACTGCTGATTCGTCTCGCCAGCAGGGCGCCGCTAGTCATGAGCAAAAATGACGACTGCATTCAAACCAATAGGTAGATGGGGTTGAATGATTTTATCAGCTATTTGTACAGATTAAATCGCGTTGATTATTCAACAGCAGCAGAAACTGTTTTATCACTACCGTCTTATCACTGAAGCTATCAAAACAAAACAACCGATTGGGTTCACCCCTGTTCACCTGTCCAGTGCGAAATTTTGTTTCACTTTCCAGGCGTTCCGCACGGCTGACGATAAACGTCAATGGAACGATTCGTAAACAAAACTACAATCAGTCGAAGTCGGTGCCGGTGCCGGTTGTTTGAGAAACATGAAGCCAAGGAAGTCACAATCCGAATCTGCTCCATCCAAGTCCTATTCGAAAAAGAAGGTAGCAAAAAATAAGAAAATTCCTACGGGGAAATGTTTTCCCACACACAAAATTCCCCGATCCAAGATGGACCGGGCAATGGAATTTCTGGAAGCTGACAACGGTGGCAAACAGATTTCAAAACGAAAAGGAGAGGTGCAGAGCTACGCCTGTTTCGGAAACATTGCGAACAAGGTCAGTGCCAGCCGGAGGGTGGACAACTACATGAACGATACGGCCAATGTGCTGCAAGTGGCACGCCATTGTGCCCTGCGCGGACGCTGGCCGGAGCTAATGAAAACGGTGGCCATTCTGATGGAGGACGTGCGGTTGTACGATGTGCATGCGGCGGTGAGGGTGAGTTTTTTTTGATTATAGGGGGAAATGGTTTTAAACGCGCCACCACAATATTTCGCTAAAAAGACGAAAGAGAAAATCGACGAAGAGAATCTATCAATGTTTCTTAGGACCTAATGCAATGTTCACCTTGATTTGATATATTTATCAACTTGCTGCATTACCAGCTTCGTGATCCGCAGAAGCAAACCAGCCCACGGCTGAAAGTGTTCATGATCTGTGTGAAAACAGAGTTCGATCACTAATTAGCTAATATACTTAGCTAAACATTACTAAGGCTCTGAACCATTTGGCGAATTATTTTAACTTTTGGTTAAAATTTGACAGATGGAAAGTTATCGATTAACCCTGCTATCCGAGCGTGGTTACTTCTGACAGACAAGAAGTTAAATTTTGACAACTGTGGCTCGAAAACCGGTCGATCAACAGCACGGGGATTTTCGAACATAGAAAATAACTTTCGAAATGTCACTTTTAACCACGAGTTAAATTTAACTCGGCAAATGGTTCACAGCCTAAGGCTCTGAACCATTTGGAGGATTATTTTAACTTTTGGTTAAAATTTGACAGATGGAAAGTTATCGATTAACCCTGCTATCCGAGTGTGGTTACTTCTGACAGACAAGAAGTTAAATTTTGACGACCGTGGCTCGAAAACCGGTCGATCGACATCACGGGGATTTTCGAACATAAGAAATAACTTTCGAAATGCCACTTTTAACCACGAGTTAAATTTAACTCGGTAAATGGTTCACAGCCTAAGGCTGTGTTCCATTTGGTTAGTTTTCACTTAAATTTTACAGACGGAAATTTTAAAATAAACCTGCTATTGTACCAGACTTATTTCTGACAGACAATGAATCAATTTTGACAAACACCTTTTCGAAAATCGAAAGATCAACAACAGAGGGATTTTCGAACATTATAATTTATTTTCGAAGTGTCAAATATAAGTGAAAATTTACCAAATGGAACACAGCCTAAGGCTCTGAACATTTCTGACCGGCAAGAAGAACCGTGGCTGAGTTCTTCTCGAAAACCGGTCGATCGACAGCACAGGGATTTTCGAACATACAGAATAACTTTCGAAATGTCACTTTTAACCACGAGTTAAATTTAACTGGGCAAATCTGGATCAACAATAGAAAAGGGCCCATCAGCATTTGTAAACGAACCGTTCCAAAGCCCATTCCTCACAAATCGAAGGCCGCCCACACAAACCAACACCATCATCGTGTAGGTAGAAGTTTCCCCTATCCGATGATGGTTTTGGTTTGCGTGGGTGGCCTTCGTTTTGTGAGTAAAGGGCTTTGGAACGGTTTGTTTACAAATGCTGATGGGTCCTTTTCTAATGATGATCCAGAAATGGTTCACAGCCTAAAAGCCGGCGCACAATGGATAAGTTTTCAGGCTTTTTGACAGTTAGCCCAGGCTTTTTGACAGTTACTGTCAAAAAAAACCCGGAAACTTATGCATTGTGCGCCAGCCTTAAGGCTGTGTTCCATTTGGTGAATTTTCACTTAAATTTGACACTTCGAAAATAAATTATACTCTTCGAAAATCCCTCTCTTGCTGATCGTCCGGTTTTCGAAAAGGTGTTTGTCAAAATTGAGTCCTGATCTGTCAGAAATAAGTGTGATCGAATAGCAGGTTTATTTGAAAATTTTCCATCTGTCAAATTTAAGTGAAACTTCACCAAATGGAACACAGCCCGAGGCACAGCCTTAGGCTGTGTTCCACTTGGTGAATTTTTAATTAAATTTGACAGATGGAAAATTTTCAAATAAACCTGCTATTCCAGCAGACTTATTTCTGACAGACAAGGAATCAATTTTGACCGACGCTTTCTCGAAAATCGGCCGATCAGCAACAGAGGGATTTTCGAACATCTTAATTTATTTTCGAAGTGTCAAATCTAAGTAAAAATTTTCCAAATGGAACACAGCCTCAAAGACAATTAGGTCAACGCGTTCGTAACACTGACCTGTTGACAAATAAAAAAATAAAACTGTGCATTTCCTTTTTTCAGAACGCTTTCTACTGCATCATGGCCGACCCTGTGCTTAACGATCCATCCTTTCTCGAGGCATATCTCTACTCGAATCCTCGATGCAGCAACGCAGGGGACGTATCGTACTGTATCGACAAAATCCTGGAAGTCTTCCAGGGAGTTACTATCATCCCGACTGGACGCCGAAACGTAGCTCAAAGTAAATTAGATATGGATGATAGTTCATCGTCGGCGGCGGCTGATAGTGACGGCATGGAATCGTCGGAAGACGAATGATCTGTTTTTCCCCCTAGGATGCAGTTTTAGTATAGTGTAAAAATGGCTGAATGGAATAAGTGTGCATGATAAACTTCGGAAATAAAGAAACAATTGAATATTTGGCACTTGAAACATCAACAAACCGACATGAATGACCTTAGAAATTACCATGAAAAGTCTGCTCAAATCACACTATACTGATATCTGTCTCCATGTTCGCGGAAACGATTGCACGCGTGCAAAATTTATGAATTGGTTCATGTCTGATCTATTATCGACAAGTTATTTTATGTATAGATTTTGATTTTAGCAAAGAGAAATTTTAGATTTTAACATATGGGAATCGGCCGTTACAGATTTTCGAGCAAAAGTCAAGTTTTAATTTCACGTCGGTTTATCAGTGCTTGAAACGCTGTTAGAATCACTCCCAGCGATTGACATGCTCTAAATTCCGTTTTCACTTTGTTCCTACCTTATAACCCCCACAGTTCTGGCCCCACTGGTTAACAATGTTTACCAAAAAAATCTGTCAACCGCATCCTCAAAAAAGCTCCACTATCTTTCGCAAGGAGAGCGCACGCCAAAAAAAATGGGAAGAGCCTTTCCCTCCTCACTGCCAGCCGATGTGAAAGAGTGAGAGCGAGAGATAATGATTGCTGCCGTGCGTGGATCGTCGACCGACGACCACACTAGCGCAACGAGGAGGCACCGCACAAGAAAATCGAACATTCTTTTCCACTATCGTGCGGCGCTCGGTTCGGTCGGTCAGTTATAGTTTTCGGATTTCTCGGTCGGGCAAATTTTGTGCAGAAAATCTCGGGCAAACTTTCGCTCGATCGTGGTCCAGCGGCGAAGTGAATTTGGTGTAAGTGGTATATTTGTGGTGACGGAAAATCAAGTGAAACTCTCTTTGGGAAAATGTGATTCGAAGAATAAGTTTCTTCCCGAATCAAGAATGTAAAATCTCGCTGAAAAAAAATCTCCGGGAGCAAGGGAGAAGTGTGCAGACAGTCAGTGGCCGAAGGAATTTTGTTTACGAGCGAAAGAGACGGGCGTTCAGGTTGGGAGGGTGATAACACGGTGAGAAAAATGCCACCAGGATTCATCAAGTTTTGATTCGCTTTGAGGGTGTATTTTCGTGTGACATGACGTTCGTCCGTCGTTCTTCTGCTGTGTTGTTCGTAGATGTGCGGTGGTATGGGTGAATTTGTGATTGGATGTACACACCCATTCAATAAAGTTCAACAATTCGATGGTAAGCACAGTGGGATAATGGTGTTGAGTTCTGGTAATATTTCCCAGGGTGTTTCGTGTGTTTTTTTATGTGAAACGGTTTTAAGGCGACGTGTTGTGCCTGGTAAAATTATGCAAATTTCATCTTCTTTTGGCTTTATTACGGTCCCTATTGGGACTATACGCCGACTCTCAACTTATTGTTCTTTGAGCACTTCCACAATTTTGTTAATTGAGAGCTAAGCCTGTTTAATTTTAGCATTAGTATTTTTGTGTGGCAAGTACAATCATATCTATGCCCAGCCTAATAAAATTTGTATGATTATTTTGCTTAACGACGTGTTCAGGGTATAATCACGCTTATCTTTACACCACCGGCGCCGCCTTGAATTGTTCATTCTAAAATTTAGATGTGGTTTTAAGTTTCAAAACAACTGCCATTTTTTTCTATTGAAACCATTTTAATACAAATGTGTCCTTATTAAGGTTTGGAGCATGTCTGTTTTTTTACGTAGGATAAAGTCTTTCAGCAACATTTCGGAGGTGCAATCCAAGATCGACCGCGTTACGAAAAGTGGTAAGAGACGATGGTTAATAAGAGACGCCCGAAGACTGAAGCCAAAAGTTCCAATCGCGCAATCCAGTCAAACGCGTTTCCAATCGAGCAATGTAAATAGACACGAGCGCTTCACGAGGAAAGCGTGAGGAGTATTGAGATGGATAATTAAGTTTGCGTATGAAAAGTGCAATTGGATACTATTTGACTTATGGAATACAAATAAAACACAAGTCAAATCTTTTGAGATTATTTGTTTTAACGTTTACATAAATGTCAAAAAGCAAATATTTTTATAAAATTACAAAGCCGCTGATCGACTGTCAAGTTTTTAATCACTGGATTTGTATGGCTGATGAATACAAAGTCAAAACATTTTGAACCTATCATCTAGTTTTATGTGAACAGCATGGCAGTCTTCAAAAACAGTGATTTGCAATAGCATCAACAAGGTAGCTTACTGGGCTAGAATATTATTGTTATTCACCAGCTGTATTCTCGTTATGTTCTCACGAAATATGCTCTCCAGTGCAACGAAAATCATATACACAGGCCCTGTAACGTTGATCAAGGCGTTAACGGTGTAATCTGTCAAGATAGTGAATTTCGTGAAGGACTTAGAAAAAAAGTTTTTTTTTAAATACTTAACTATAGAGATTTTTTAGCCGTACGCTAGTTCATCTCTTACTTCAAAAAATGGATTTCTCGATAACTTTTTTAAAGGGACGTATCTACTTTTGTAAACAATGCATTTAATCGTCGGTTTAGCGTAACTGATAGCTCACCAACGCATACTAAAACCTCTATCAGGTAGTTATGATAGTGTTAGCAGTCGTGCGCGAGCTACCAGTTTAGCCAAATCGACAAGCAAATGCATTGTTTTCAAAGCAGATACGTCCATTTGTGAAAGAAATAGAGATTTCATTCCTACAGGGTAGGACGCATAAATCATAGATTGCATAATTCTACGCAACGCTCTGTAAAATATGTCCAGCAATGTAGTATATTTGGTTTCATTCAGTGTTGTCAAAATACTTCGTTTGAATACAGTCAACTTTCGCTCGTTGGGCTAGACCCATAGCCTACTTAGTGAAAGGCTTTCGTTAGGTGGGCTGAGCTGTCAAGCTAAACATTGGTAGAGGGACACACCGATTGATTATTGTCATCGCAAACCTTGAGCAACTATCCAAATTGTTCATCCATTAGCTCCTCGAAAAGAAATCAATTTCACTCAATTCACAATCAGGCTAAGGCCTTGTTGTCTTCTGCTGTCCGAAGAAGTCGTCTCCACTCTACTCGATCCATGGCCACAGTTCGCCAGCCTCGTAGTCTGCGAAGGGTCCGCAGGTCACCTTCTATTTGGTCGATCCACCTTGCCCGCTGCGCGCCTATTCTTCTTGTTCCTGTTGGGTTGCTTTCTAGAACCATTTTCACTAGGTCGTCGTGTGGCATTCTTACGACGTGCCCAGCCCACCGTAGTCGCCCAACTTTTGCAATGTGGACGATGGATGGTTCTCCCAGCAGCTGGTGCAATTCGTGGTTCATTCGCCTCCTCCACGTTCCGTCATCCATCTGCACTCCACCGTAGATGGTACGCAACACCTTCCGTTCGAAAACACCAAGAGCGCGTTGGTTTTCCACGAGCATAGTCCAGGTCTCGTAGCCGTAGAGGACCACCGGTCTAATCAGCGTCTAGTAGACAGTCAACTTCGTGCGGCGGCGAATTTTATTCGACCGGAGCGTCCTCCGGAGTCCAAAGTAGGCACAATTCCCTGCCATAATGCGTCTTTGAATTTCTCTGCTGGTATCATTTTTGGCGGTCACCAGTGAGTCCAAATACACGAACTCATCGACCACCTCGATTTCGTCACCGTCAATCTGAACTCGGGGTGGGAGGCTAACATTGTCTTCTCTAGAACCTCTTCCTTTCATGTATTTTGTCTTTGATGCGTTGATGGCAAGTCCAATCCGCCTAGCTTCAGCCTTCAGTCTGATGTACGTTTCCGCCATCATCTCAAAGTTCCGTGCCATAATGTCAATGTCATCGGCGAAGCCAAGGAGCTGGATGGACTTCCTGAATATCGTGCCACTCGTGTCTATTCCAGCTCTTCTGATCACACCTTCTTGCGTGGTTGAAGTTCGTCATAGATTAGTTCCGAATTTCCAATCGTAGTCCTTATTTCGTCGCGTAGGTCTGTGCCGATTGTTGCGATTCGTATTTCTTTCTTCAGTATTTGCAACTTTGTTTTTTTTTTCAGGGCGGCTTGTTGGGCCTGCCCCAACCCCCTGTCTCGCCGTGGGACCATCGTGACGCCGTTTTGAGCCGCACCTCCATGGTGAACAGACGCTCAGGTTTGGTGAAGCATTTCCTCTATCACCGTACTATGGTTACCGCGCCAGTGTTCGCGTCGCACCTCTTCACTTTGCTATTGCTGGACTGGCAACATTGCCCTGGCTACGCCACCCAGCTGTGTCCATGTTTCAGCTGGTAGTCTTTTATTATCATATGACTCGAGGAGGCGTGAAGTAGGAACTTGTGAGGACCAAGACTAGGTATTCCGCTCCTTCCAGGTTGTCAAGTCACCATTTTGTAGTGAAAACGAATCAGCATTGCCAAAATGACATTTGACTTCGATTTAGGTGGCTACAGCCCAACTAACGGGAGTCCAACTAAAACGTAGCCCTCTTGAAGATAGCCCAAGGAGCGAAATTCGACTGTACCGATATTACCGAAACGATTAAAAAAATATTCGTTCAAATTAAAAGTCACTCGAAATAAACACAAAATTATGGGTTGCCAAACCTTGCAGACAAAATAACTTTTTTGGCCGTGCAACCAGATTTACTTTTATTCTCTCCGCGCGTCTCTGGTTTTGACTAAAGAGACTGAATTGTGTAAAGAGGCGACATCTTATCTATTTGACAGGTCTTCTGCTCGATTGGAATAACTTTTCCTATGACTTTGACACATAATCCATTGTTCCAATTTTGACATGTCGTCTCTTTATAAATTCAGGCTCTTGAGTTTTGACCACTTCGGAGTAAAATTTAAAATCCGAGATTTTAAAATAGAAAAATTATCATTGAGTTGTTTCAGTTTGTGTAATGTTTGATACAAGAGGTGATACAGCTTTACTCTGAATTGCTTTTTACTGGCTTACTCCGTTTACCGCCTTCACATATTAGGCGTCAGTCTTGTTTGTAAACAAAATAGAATTCTCGCATCACTTTTCAATGTAGACATTGATCGATTCTCTTCATCGACTTTCTCTTTGGATCGCCACAGCCGTGTTTGGAT